CAGCCATTCTTAACGTAGAAAAGTCTAAAATGATATCTGGATAAGAAAGTACAACCCTCATGAAGCCGTTCCATATTGATGGCCTCACCAGTAGATCGCTTAATTGAGAACTATAGCTTCAGAAACCAATAACTTCGGATGATAAATAATAATAATATACTGTACTTTCCGATTCTAGTAAATCGGTGTTTACGTGTGTATTTCGCCTAGTATAAAAGTGAATTATTGCCATTGGCTATGCGGTGACCAACAGTGTCTAATCCATCAACTAAATTGATATCATGTTAATCTCCAGATATCGTCTCAGCCTATGTACCAGATCAACTGATACTTGGCATTTTACTCCAACATAATCAACCAACAGGAGATGAGAATCAACTCAAAAGGAACAGTAATAACTGAAGTATTTTGTACAAGCGGTGAGCTTTTAAGACTCAGTGGATAACTCTTTGATGTATGAAACGATGGGTGCTGGCTAAGTGAGAATTCTACCACTCACTCACTCACTGGAAAATATAGGTACATCCTTAGGTGAAAAGTCCCTAACCGAAAGAAATATGCACAAAGTGGATTCCACTGGTAATCATCACCAACCAGACTGGGCATATATCTTTTTGTAAGATTAGGCGGTAGACTGTGTGAAGACTGAGAGGGGACAGGAATACGCTGCACTGACCTATAAGAATACTCTGGAAGATCTCCATTTCGCGGGTGATTTATATCCCATACAAGCTCGAAGACTAACAGGCAAAAACCAGCAAACGGGCAGTGGAGATGACAAGAGAAGATAGGACACAAAGTGGATATATAGAAGATTCAGGTGATAAAGTTACTCACCAACCAACAACAAGAATAACAACAACCCCAAAACACTATCAGCGGAAGATATCTGAAAGAGATTACTTCTCCCAATTGTCTAGAAACGATCGTTTCAAGCGCAGGCTGGCCGCACGGATGAGTAGGTCAAAACCAGGGTAGACTGGAAAGTTAGGCAAGACTTTCAACGCGCTGAAATCAGTTTGGAAATCCTCTTCATAAAGTAGAAGATTCTAATTTTCAACACCAATGTTAAGTTAGTTAGTTAGTGCCCATAAATGGGTCAGAAACTTGATGAATGAGTCACGAAAAGCATTTCGAATAACCCCGCCCCCCTGAGGCTTTTGATGAACAGTTGTCTCTGTTCACTACATACGGAAGGTCAGATAATCAGTGTAAATAATTAGCAATCAAGAATCGATTGTTAAAGCGATAAATATTCTGAATAAAATGGAGATTGTTTGGACACACGCTGAGGTGATCGTTGGGTGATACCGCCCTCCAGGCTGTCGCTCGAGTGGATACCAAATGGGAAGTGACGAGTTAGGAGTATCGACGAGGGTGACATTGACAAGATTGTCTGAACTGGACATGAAAGCTTACTGAACGCCGTGGAACAAGCTGAAGTGGATTGCAGGGAACCAAACAAAGTGGGGAATCCAATGGAATAATATATATATATATATATATATATATATATATATGTAAATTATTAGGGTGAAGTTTCTCGTGGAGATCACTGATAGTATTGACAGTACCTGAGCAGTTCGGTACATCAGCAACAGCTGTTTAACAAGACATAATAAAATATGATGAATAGAACTCAGGAGATCTAAAGAAGAAGTAAAATTTGATGTGTGAGAAATCCAACAAAAAGATAATGTAATATATAATATAGCACAATGAAAAGGACTTGAAGAAGGATTGAAAATAGTATTCTACCTTGAAAGATTAGTTGCACGAAGAAATTAGGGATATGTTCAGATTTCAACAATGGCACTGCACTCCAGGCAGTCGCTTGAGTGGAGCCTGAATTGGTGGAGACGAGTTGGGAGTGTGTCCGAGAGTAACATGAAGCAGATCATGTGAGCAGGACATAAGTGCTTATAGGGAATCATGGAACCGGCTGAAGAAGACTGCAGGAGGGAATAGGACACAGTGGGGATATAGATATGATAGAGAAGATTTGTAGCTCAGGTGGATGATTTTGATGTGGTTTTGTTCTCTGAGCTGGATGGTTAGTTTGCGAAGCTTTCATCACCTTACTGGGTGACATCTTCAGCGCATACTTCAATTTGAAGTGAGCTTTTAGATTTCTCCACGAGTTTATTAATCATCTCTCCTGGTGACCTTGGACGTGATTGGTTGTTTGTGTGTGTTTTCACACCTTCTAGGTTACTTGTATTGGAACCGGTTGTTTCTTTGACTTGAACTTTGACCCTTTGTGTATGAAGTTTCTTTCTCATTGGTTGATAACTTTTGTCTATCTCGATGTGTCTATTGATTGATGATTCACTGGAATGCCAAGCTTCTAAAAATTCTCTAGCATTCTTGTTATTTCCTTTGTCTAATATTTGAACGTTGTCCCAGTCGAATTGATGTCCGTAGTTGTCTGTGTGTAGTGAAATGAGGGAGTGGATATCATGTCTTTTGACGGCTAGCTTATGTTCGTGGATACGAAGACGAAGGGGACGTCCACTTTGGCCGATGTAGTGTTTTTCGCAGTTGTTACAGTTTATTTTGTAGATGATGTTGGTTTTGTCTTCTTTCGCTGTTGAGTCTTTTGGTTGACATAGAATTGAGTGCAGCGACTTTGTTGGTTTGTGTACGACGTCAATTCCTAAAGGTTTGAAGAGTCTTGTAGTGATTTCTGAGATATCTTTTATATATGGTAAGGCAATTTTCTTTGTGCTTTCCTTGGTGGTTTTTGCTTTGGTAGGTTGGCTTGGGGGTATATGTCTCTTGATGAAATTCCGTGGATATCCATTCTTTTGGAAGACGTCCATGAGATACTTTTCTTCAATTTTCCTTAAGGTGGGAGTGCTGCAGTGAGTCCTTGCTCTCTTGAATAGTGTTTGTATGCAATTCCTTTTGTGTGTTATTGGGTTGTTGCTGTTGTAATTCAGTATTTGGTCTGTGTGAGTTGATTTCCTATAAACTTGAGTTTCTAATTCTCCTGTAGTTGTTCGCCTGACTAAGACGTCCAAAAATGGTATTTTGTTCTCGGATTCCTCTTCTCTTGTGAATTTGATGTCGTTGAAGACGTTGTTTATTAAGTTGTGAGTTTTATCTAATTCGTTTCTTTTGATTATTACAAATGTGTCGTCGACGTAGCGTATCCAAATCTTGGGTTTGATCTTTGGTAGAATTATATTTTCGAGTCTTTGCATCACTGCTTCTGCAATCAAACCTGATATTGGCGATCCCATGGGTGTTCCTTTGACTTGTTCATATATTTGGCCGTTGAATTGGAAGTATGTTGTTAGGCATAGATTTATGCGATTCCATGCACAAAAGGAATTGCATACAAACACTATTCAAGAGAGCAAGGACTCACTGCAGCACTCCCACCTTAAGGAAAATTGAAGAAAAGTATCTCATGGACGTCTTCCAAAAGAATGGATATCCACGGAATTTCATCAAGAGACATATACCCCCAAGCCAACCTACCAAAGCAAATACCACCAAGGAAAGCACAAAGAAAATTGCCTTACCATATATAAAAGATATCTCAGAAATCACTACAAGACTCTTCAAACCTTTAGGAATTGACGTCGTACACAAACCAACAAAGTCGCTGCACTCAATTCTATGTCAACCAAAAGACTCAACAGCGAAAGAAGACAAAATCAACATCATCTACAAAATAAACTGTAACAACTGCGAAAAACACTACATCGGCCAAAGTGGACGTCCCCTTCGTCTTCGTATCCACGAACATAAGCTAGCCGTCAAAAGACATGATATCCACTCCCTCATTTCACTACACACAGACAACTACGGACATCAATTCGACTGGGACAACGTTCAAATATTAGACAAAGGAAATAACAAGAATGCTAGAGAATTTTTAGAAGCTTGGCATTCCAGTGAATCATCAATCAATAGACACATCGAGATAGACAAAAGTTATCAACCAATGAGAAAGAAACTTCATACACAAAGGGTCAAAGTTCAAGTCAAAGAAACAACCGGTTCCAATACAAGTAACCTAGAGGGTGTGAAAACACACACAAACAACCAATCACGTCCAAGGTCACCAGGAGAGATGATTAATAAACTCGTGGAGAAATCTAAAAGCTCACTTCAAATTGAAGTATGCGCTGAAGATGTCACCCAGTAAGGTGATGAAAGCTTCGCAAACTAACCATCCAGCTCAGAGAACAAAACCACATCAAAAACAGTGGGGATATGCTGTTGAAGCCCTATAATAATAATAATAATCAGTGAAATCGTTCTATGTCACGTGACAAGTTAATTGTCTAACGTTTACATAATATAATGGTCAGTTTAAGATAAATAATCGAAAATATGACTATAAGTTTGCGTGTCGTTAACTGTATAACTCTTCTTATTTCACAACCCTTATAGACAATTCATTCATTCATTCACATCAGAGGTCATAATGTGCTGATTATAAACCATAACAAAACGAATTTCACATATATATTCAATATAGGTCTACGTATCTATCTGTCTCACTCTAACTGTTGTTTGAAACACAGAATATTGAGATAGAATACAGATAATTAACCAATTCTGATTAAATCTAAGTCAGATGTTAAATCAGATCACAAAGATATTCAATTTCGATCACAATAACAATCTTTCTTGTTGATCATAATAATTGCATGTTTGTTTGATTAGCACAATAGATGTTAACTTGTTTTGCATGCACACTTATGAAAATAGAAGTATCATGTTTCATGTTTCCGGTCTTTTGTGTCTGTGTCCGTTTGTACGTGTTTGTATATGTGTGCAATTTGACATCACCAACATCATTTATGGTAAAGTTCATGAGTCTTATTTCTGTATTGGATAAATGGAACACTGCCTGATTTATCTGTTAATCTCTGAATGGTCAATGTAAATTTTAGTTGATCAGTTGATTGGTGATCAGTCGACCGACATATATATATATATATATATATCCTGTCAGGTACAGCGTTGTAAATTACACAATTATGCGTGATACTGTCTGGTTGATTGCCAGTTTCCTGATCCTTCTTCTTCTTCTACTTCTTCTGACCCAGTCATCATCATCATCACCCCAACCAGGATCTACACAACTAACTGGCTTGAATAAAATAACCTTGAATACAGATGGACAATTTATTGACACTCGTGGATTTATCAAGTTATTTCGTGGATTTAATTCTGTTCGAAAATCTTTTCCATGGTATTCTCAACAAGTGTTGAATATAACACAGATGAAAATGTTTCAAAACTGGGGTATCAATACAATTCGTTTACAAGTGATGTGGAGTGGAGTATATCCTCATCAATCGACCATTAATACTACATACTTAGATCAAATTGAAAAAATAGTCAATCTGTTTGCACAGTACAATATCTATGTGATATTAGACATGCATCAAGATGCTCTGTCATCTCGTTATGGTACATACGATGGAATACCACTATGGTTGATTGATCAATTCAAAAGACCATCACATGCTCTACAATATCCTTGGCCTTATAAACAAGCACCAAACTGTGAAATGTGTAATTATTTAACTTATGAGTGTAGTAATGCAGCACAACAGTTATATGATAATGTATCGAATTCATGGAGTCATTGGGGTGATTTTTGGGAAGTGATTGCCGAAAGATTCAGGCATACTACAAATGTACTTGGTTATGAATTGATCAATGAACCGCCACCGGGTAACTATTATACAAATCCATTACGTGGTCTTTCAGGTAAATCAATCATGAGATGATGTTTGTTACTTTTTTGTTTTGTCGGTGTCCTTTAGTTGTTTTGGAGCTTGAGCCCTAAAAAATTGTCGGTTAAGGTTAATAGCCAACTTTGCATCTTACTATTGATTAACCAGGATTCATTAGTAGTAGTAGTAGTAGTAGTATAAGGTTGTTTTGGAATCGAATGTGGATTTAGTGTTTTTGGTTAGTGAGACATTATACCATTGAACCAATGACTCACAAAAGCGTGTGATGGGTTCCGAGTAGAACATAGGGCTGGCTTCAACAACAGCTCTCCACTTTCTTCTATTTTTACCGTCTTATTCGGTTGACTGACACCACGATTTCTCATAATCTCGCGTCTCCTCCTCCCACTATCCCCTCTATGTCATACTAGGACGGCTGACTCGTAATCTCCCATTGAGATTTCACTTGAGCAATGGCCTTCTTTGAGCGCGATGTCGTTCGGCGGTTTCCTTAATGCAAGCGCGATTCATCTCCACTTTATCCCACATATTTGTTGAGCGATCGGCTCTCGGTCGGTTTGTTCATTCATCGCCAGAGTTTCTTGCTAATATTACTTTCTGGCCGGCCGGCTGGCTATTTGATCTTCAGTATGGAGCGGAGGCAGCTGTTGATGAAGGGCTGCAGCTCGCTGCTGGAAATTCTTTTCGTGACACGTAGTAAAATTTTCTGACCTGTAGGAAAGGAACTCAGCGAAATTTGTGTTGACAGTTCCAATCCTGTTCCTTATCCTGAGGGCAGAATATTTTCAAATTGGTTTCAAGTTGATGAAAGCGTATCTTGCCCTTTGGATTCTGACTGGATTTGAAATCTGCAACGGTAACGACTGCCTCTAGTTGGGACGACCCTGGCTGCCTAGTTAACTGAAGGAGGTAACCTATGTTAAATCTCTCCTGTTTATGGTGATTCTCGCTGTTCGTTGTTGTTGCTGTTAGTTGGTTGGTTGGATGGGTATCTTCATCACCTCTATCTCCAACTTCTCAGTGTTCAGCTGGATGGAGTTCTGTCTACGCTGACAGCCAGCAGGTCAGTCTCTTCTGTCAGTTTGTTGCTAGTTTTTGATTACCTACTAGTCTTCGTGTTTCTATGACACTAGACATACATCATCTGAGAAATCCAGATCTTCTAGAGTCTTCTCACCGGTGATCCAGCGTGTTCCTGTCTCCTGATGGAAGCGAGGGATAGTAAAAATGCCGCAGCCCAGCACTCTGAGGAGACCACTGAATGAAATCACTCTCTAGGCTAGCCCATGTATGAAACCTGCATGGGAGAAGACGAGCTGGGTGTCGGTTGGTTCATGGGTGGTATGGAGTAGATAGTGTAATTAGGAATTGAAAGATTTTCTACTGCAAATACGTCAGCTAAAAAGGACTACAGTGAAATCGAAATGTGCTGTTGAAGACCCAAGTTCCATGTGAAACTAAAGGGAACAATAATAATAATCATAGTAATCGACGAGAAACCTACCACTTGTCTGCACAATTTTAGTTCACAGGAATTCTGATGCCTGGAAAACTCATTTTCAGATTAAGGAGACTGACTATTCAGTAGAGTTTGATAGCCACTGTAAGACAGTATAATTGCTGAGCGATCTATGGACTCCAATAAATACACTAAAACAAGCAACAAGTGTTGTTAATAGAGGCAGAACTTAATGGATTCATCAGATTTGAGTATTAACGGTATCCAGTTGTTAATACTGCATCCCGTGTGTGATATTTAAAGTAAACTGATCTCGTTTGGAATTACATACCGTGTTTTACATTTATATTAATGTTCGTATTATTATTTGTACAAACCATCTCTGTTCCCTTCTTCGTTATGCTATTTTTAAGGGGTAATAGGCTGTTAATTGGTTCACTACCATGTTGTCTGCAGTATGGAGGCAACCAAGTTAGTGAGTTACCAATGGAAATTTACACCTCGTAGGAAGTGAACGTCGTTGGCGTCAATTCTCTCAAATGACTTCACGTTAGTATTGAAGATTCAGGTCTTCTTCCTTCTCGTGACTCCTTTATATCTTCCTGCTGACACTTATTTCAGAGTCATGAACACCTCTCTTAGTTGCTTCCTGGCTGGCATTCTTGCTTCATAGGTCCGATCCGATGCCTAATAGCTTTGAATGCACAATTCATTCGCCTTGCAGTTGAGACGACAGTGTCAACTGTGTGGGGGAGGCTGCCTGTTTGGAAACAGAAAAATGTCACTGCTACACTTCTCGTGTTGTGCTCTGCCAGTGTCATACAAATACTCTTCCCAAGACAGTCACTATCGTCATCATCATCCTGGTTTTCTCATATTGGTTGCTAGCTAACTAACTAACTAACTAACTAACTAACTAACTAACTAACTAACTAACTAACTAACTAACTAACTAACTAACTAACTAACTAACTAACTAACTAACTAACTAACTAACTAACTAACTAACTAACTAACTAACTAACTAACTAACTAACTAACTAACTAACTAACTAACTAACTAACTAACTAACTAACTAACTAACTAACTAACTAACTAACTAACTAACTAACTAACTAACTAACTAACTAACTAACTAACTAACTAACTAACTAACTAACTAACTAACTAACTAACTAACTAACTAACTAACTAACTAACTAACTAACTAACTAACTAACTAACTAACTAACTAACTAACTAACTAACTAACTAACTAACTAACTAACTAACTAACTAACTAACTAACTAACTAACTAACTAACTAACTAACTAACTAACTAACTAACTAACTAACTAACTAACTAACTAACTAACTAACTAACTAACTAACTAACTAACTAACTAACTAACTAACTAACTAACTAACTAACTAACTAACTAACTAACTAACTAACTAACTAACTAACTAACTAACTAACTAACTAACTAACTAACTAACTAACTAACTAACTAACTAACTAACTAACTAACTAACTAACTAACTAACTAACTAACTAACTAACTAACTAACTAACTAACTAACTAACTAACTAACTAACTAACTAACTAACTAACTAACTAACTAACTAACTAACTAACTAACTAACTAACTAACTAACTAACTAACTAACTAACTAACTAACTAACTAACTAACTAACTAACTAACTAACTAACTAACTAACTAACTAACTAACTAACTAACTAACTAACTAACTAACTAACTAACTAACTAACTAACTCTAACTAACTAACTAACTAACTAACTAACTAACTAACTAACTAACTAACTAACTAACTAACTAACTAACCACTAACTAACTAACTAACTAACTAACTAACTAACTAACTAACTAACTAACTAACTAACTAACTAACTAACTAACTAACTAACTAACTAACTAACTAACTAACTAACTAACTAACTAACTAACTAACTAACTAACTAACTAACTAACTAACTAACTAACTAACTAACTAACTAACTAACTAACTAACTAACTAACTAACTAACTAACTAACTAACTAACTAACTAACTAACTAACTAACTAACTAACTAACTAACTAACTAACTAACTAACTAACTAACTAACTAACTAACTAACTAACTAACTAACTAACTAACTAACTAACTAACTAACTAACTAACTAACTAACTAACTAACTAACTAACTAACTAACTAACTAACTAACTAACTAACTAACTAACTAACTAACTAACTAACTAACTAACTAACTAACTAACTAACTAACTAACTAACTAACTAACTAACTAACTAACTAACTAACTAACTAACTAACTAACTAACTAACTAACTAACTAACTAACTAACTAACTAACTAACTAACTAACTAACTAACTAACTAACTAACTAACTAACTAACTAACTAACTAACTAACTAACTAACTAACTAACTAACTAACTAACTAACTAACTAACTAACTAACCTGTAACTAACTAACTAACTAACTAACTAACTAACTAACTAACTAACTAACTAACTAACTAACTAACTAACTAACTAACTAACTAACTAACCTGTAACTAACTAACTAACTAACTAACTAACTAACTAACTAACTAACTAACTAACTAACTAACTAACTAACTAACTAACTAACTAACTAACTAACTAACTAACTAACTAACTAACTAACTAACTAACTAACTAACTAACTAACTAACTAACTAACTAACTAACTAACTAACTAACTAACTAACTAACTAACTAACTAACTAACTAACTAACTAACTAACTAACTAACTAACTAACTAACTAACTAACTAACTAACTAACTAACTAACTAACTAACTAACTAACTAACTAACTAACTAACTAACTAACTAACTAACTAACTAACTAACTAACTAACTAACTAACTAACTAACTAACTAACTAACTAACTAACTAACTAACTAACTAACTAACTAACTAACTAACTAACTAACTAACTAACTAACTAACTAACTAACTAACTAACTAACTAACTAACTAACTAACTAACTAACTAACTAACTAACTAACTAACTAACTAACTAACTAACTAACTAACTAACTAACTAACTAACTAACTAACTAACTAACTAACTAACTAACTAACTAACTAACTAACTAACTAACTAACTAACTAACTAACTAACTAACTAACTAACTAACTAACTAACTAACTAACTAACTAACTAACTAACTAACTAACTAACTAACTAACTAACTAACTAACTAACTAACTAACTAACTAACTAACTAACTAACTAACTAACTAACTAACTAACTACTAACTAACTAACTAACTAACTAACTAACTAACTAACTAACTAACTAACTAACTAACTAACTAACTAACTAACTAACTAACTAACTAACTAACTAACTAACTAACTAACTAACTAACTAACTAACTAACTAACTAACTAACTAACTAACTAACTAACTAACTAACTAACTAACTAACTAACTAACTAACTAACTAACTAACTAACTAACTAACTAACTAACTAACTAACTAACTAACTAACTAACTAACTAACTAACTAACTAACTAACTAACTAA